AGAGATGCACATATGTTTCCCACATATTAGATATGGATCCCTCAGAAGGGAAGAAGCCTCAGTCATCTGTCAGGACAAGGGATAAGTCATCTGGAGGGACAACCCCACCAGAAAGGATGTAGAGGGAGCCACTGAGAGTCAGGAACTTTCCAAGGAAAGTGCCATATCAAGGAAATGAAACAGGTGGGCTCCAGGAAGGAGATCTCTGAGGAACCCAAGAGAACACCTGTGTAGAGGTGGGCAGTTATCCACTGGCCCCACCCAAGGGCACCAATGTGAATTACAACTACAGCGTCAAGGGGAGCCTGGGTGACTCAGTCAGTTGAGCGTCCGACCTCGGCTCGGGTCATGATCTCGCGGTCACTGAGTTCGAGCCCTGCATCGGGCTCTGTGCTGACGGCTCAGAGCCTGGAATCTGCTTCGGATTCTGTGTCTCTCTCTCTGCCCCTCCCCCACTCATGCTCTGTCTCTCTCTGTCTGTTAAAAATAAATAAACATTAAAAATTTTTTTTAATAAAAAAATAAAATAAAATAAACTACAGCAGTCAAAGTAAGCATTTTCTGCCTCTTCTCTCTCTCTTTCTGGCCCGAACCCTGGAGAAGCCAGAGCAACAGAACAGAGGACAAATAGCATAAGAGTGAAGGACAGTGAAGAATCCAACCACACCCACTTTCTCCCCACTGCTAGCCTCCTGCCTGACAGGGGTCCACACTGTGGGGGAGGAGAGGCTTTAAATTAGATGAAAGATTGAAGTTTGCTATTCAACAGGACTGGACTTAACTAATGCCTGGAAAATTAGACAATGTCCAACACCTGAAAGTTCTTGGAAAAGCTGTGGGAACTGCCCAAAGTTTCATCCAGGTCAGAGAAAGACAAGTCAATGGAAAGGTTTAGAGAAAAAGTAAAGTTCTGCTTATTCCTAAGCTGGTCGCCTGACGCCTCTTAAAACAAAACTGCATCTGAAAGGTTTATCAGATTAAGCTAGCCCATAAGATATATCATCAAATGCTGAATGAATTAACCTCATTTAGTTATATAGGCAATATTATTCAGCTGCCTCAAGAGTTTTAGTTTTAAGAATTGTAATAAAGATATTGCTTCTATGTGACTTCATAATTGATGCCTTTTACAAGGATAGACACTGAAGACGACTCAGAAATTCTAAGCAAATGAGCTTAGGATTTCACATTTGACATGCCCACAATTACTGATGCTTTATTTCTTAACCTGAGGAGGCATTGAGGCCTTGGGCGATTTATGTCTATGTGCTGTTTCTTGGAGATACCCAGGGATATTTGGAAGGGAACCCTATTTACCTTTCAGTCCTGAGATTACTTTCATAACCACTCTCCTCCTCTTCTGACCTGGGAGGGTCCACCATTCTCCTCCAGTCACGACCACCTTCTGGGAAGCTCCTGCCTAACTGGGGTTCTGATCTCTTCCCTATCTGCAACACCCTAGACTTAGGAGCAGGTGTGTGTTGGGAACTCTACAAAGGCATAGGGTGCGGTGGACAATAATAAACAAATTTTCTGGCTTTTAGTGAATATCTCATTCTGTTGCATACCCTTTAGTTATTTTATTTTCAACTGGTAAAAGAGCACTTTCCATCCTGATTCAATCCTCAAGTAGTTCTTTGGCAATCATAGTTTTCAAATACCTTGGTAGAGAATATCCGTGTGTTAAGAATCCAAATGCTCTATGTTGTAAATGAACTTAAGCAGCATTGGTCATCCAAGACTCTCTAGTTCATTGTCTTGTCCAAACCAAAAAGTTCAGGGAGTAGGAATCAGCTACTCACCCAGGTTTTTATGAAAGCAAGTCTCAGACTAAATTCTGCCCCATGTACAGATATTGATTAAACAAACCTTTATTAGTAAGTAGGCATAAAACATCATACAACCCCTTTCAGTTTATAGGTACTCTGACCCCACCTTGCAAGGAACATTAACCAGAAGCAGATACCACAATATTCCAGAGGCAGGATTCTGCCATCCTATTGTCCACAGAAAGCAATCAAAATCATCCCACTCTGGTTCAACACAGGACCACTTAGGGACCAAACCTCAAGGGCCATCCCCAAAAGAACAGGCTATCAGACTTGCTAAGGTAGCAACTATCTCTAAAATATTACAGCCAATTGCCATATCTGGAAAATATTCATTTTTTAAAAAAATTTTTAGTGTTTATTTATTTTTGAGAGACAGAGCATGAGCGGGAGATGGGCAGAGAGAGACACACACAGAATCTGAAGTAGGCTCCAGGCTCTGAGCCGTCAACACAGAGCCCAACATGGGGCAGAAACTCACAAACCACAAGATCATGACCTGAGCCGAAGTCAGACGCTTAACTGACTGAGTCACCCAGGTGCCCCTGGAGAACATTGAATTTTACTAAGAAAAGCTTATTTCTAACATCTGTTATGCAGATTAACAAGACATAAAGTTCATCCATGAAAACCCATTTTTGACATTCATTATGTTAATTAATAAAGTCTCTGGTGGTGATTGAGATATAGACAACTTAAGTGCCATAGCAGGTGCCTGTGGGGTATGGACTTGAAAATGAAATGCAGTTGATCACCCCTGGAGAATGGATCACTGATGAGGACCTTAGAAAGTAGTTCAGATTTTCTCTCTCTCTCTCTCTCTCTCTCTCTCTCTCTCTGTCTCTCTCTCTCTCTCTCTCTCTCTCACACACACACACACACACACACACACCCATGCTGAAGTCATTTAAAGCAAATTACAGACATCATATCACTGTACAAATAGAAAAGATCACCTGCCCAAAGTAACTCTTTTGGTATTGTTGTAATAGACATTCATGATATCAAGTAGAAAACGCATTTAAATGACACAAAAATAATGAAATGTGTTCCTTTTATTCTTGCAAACTCCACCTGTTTTTATGTTTTTAATTTGGGAACATAAAATCATAAATTAAGTCAAAATCAACTACAATCCTATAAAGAACTTACAGGAACTTCTAGTCTTCTATGTGCTCACACACTTAGACACACTTTAACCCTCCCCAGGCCTGATGGAGAGTGAATACACACCGGAAACTAGAGACAGCGTATGGAGAGAGCCACTAGACAGGAGCTGTAGCCTGCATTAGGGAGACACGGCCAAGCCACAGTGACCCAGCAGGGAGGGAGTGACAGGAATAAAATCAGGTCCCCAGCCTGTGCCTCTCATTAGTCAAACCCAGCCAGAAGCCAGAGGGCAAGAAAGCCCTCCAAGGTAGTCACAGAGGAGGCGGATGTAGGGTCAGCCTCCCAACACGGAGCAGTATAAAGGATGGAGAGGGAGTCAGGAAAGGCAAATGTTCCATGACTGCGAGAAATAATTTTTTATTTTCATGCATAAAGTCCACCACAACATACACATTTAAAGAAAGGTAAGTGTATAACAAATAACTTCAATATGAAGAAATACTATTGATGAGCACAGTAAGGGAGGGGGGTTCTCTTCAGGACAGGTGTAAAGGACCCAGCTGCCTGATCTGCTGACGAATAAAGCTACAAGTGAATTCTGATGCAGGACTGAGCTAGCCAAACCACCGTGGGACAGGCAGGGCGGAAGGACTGACATTTGGCAGGGACTCCTGTGTGTCTGGATGGATCGATGAGGTGAAAGTCTGTTTTAAGAGGTTTCTCATAATAACGGTTCCCATTTTTCCAACCCAAACTACTTGCCAGGCCCTGTGATAAGTGCCTCACACACATTATCTCATTTAACACAATACTTGAAGTGAACATTATTTTCTCATGTTTTTACGGAAGAGAAACTGAGGCTCGGAGAAGTCTGGTGATGTGACTAAGGTCACACAGTCACACTCCCACTAAGTGATGGAGTCAGGAGTTGGACCTAGATCTACAAGAGCCCAAGGCCAGTCCACTTAGCGACTCTGATAGATAGCTACCACCATTAGCGGTCCCACCTGTAACTGCTTTATGGAGGAATAAACAGTGGAAACCTGGTGAGTAAAGATTGAGTCTCTCCAGGGAATGTCTGCCAAGCATTAAGGAAACAAGAAAACCATCTGAGGGTGCTGCCCAGGTTATATGGTCATTAAAATAATGGTAATAAAATACACATTGATCACTTTTGGAGGTTGCTAGGATTTCAACTCATTAGGATACCAACACACAAGAAGCAACTAATCAAATCTGAAATGTAGGAATTTCTGCAGGAGAAATGACCATATTTCTTCCACAGATGAATAGCATGGCAGAGGTGCTGAGAGGGGGAGGGGGATTGTTACAGATCAAAAAAGATTTCAGGAAGCAACTGCTACTAATTTTTCCAATGTATGGCCTTTTGTAACCATTACTTTCCCTACAAAGAATTCTTTTCCAAGGTGACCTAGCCCACCTTGAAGCAGGACTCAACTCAACATTTCTTCTCAGCCTGCAGCACCAAATATTCTTCAGAATCCAGAATAAGCAATATAAACTCTCCCAGATTTTGTCGATATGGTGGAGGGAGGATCTCCCACCCCACTAATCCCCATGCAACACATGCCTTCTTCCAACCTTCCTCCTGGCTGCCCTGTAATCAGTTTCTCCTAGAATCCCAGAATGCCGAAAGTTAATATCCCAGGACGGCTTTGATTTCAGCAAACAAAGCAGTGTTCAACCACAACCATTCAATGGGAAAACTATGAATTACAAGTAATTTTTTTCTTTTATAATTTTTCCTGTCACACAAGCTAGTGTGTCCAATTCCTTAGACTACTATGCAAACAACATACAGTCATCCCCTTTTACCTGAGGAGGATACGTTCCAAGACCCCCAGTGGAGGCCTGAAACCACAGATGGTACTCCACCCTACACACACTAATGTTTCTTCCTATAGCTCCGTATCTGTGATGAAGCTGAGTGCATAAATTAGGCACAACAATAACTAATAATAAAATAGAACAAATGTAACAATACACTGTAATAAAAGTTATGTGAATACGTCTCTCTCAAGATATATTGTGCTGTACTCACCCTTCTTCTTAGATGATATGAGATGACAAGATGCCCCCATGATGAGACAAACGAGGTGGATGATGCAAGCATTGTGACGTCACGTGACACAACGTTGCCATTGACGCTCTGAAGATTCAACAGAAGGAGGAGCATCCGCTTCCCCAAGGCCGTTGACACGGTAACTGAAACAATGGAAAGCAAAACCCTAGGTAAGGGGGATACTACTTGGTCAAACCCAGTCAGGGTTTTGAAATTGAAAATTTCAAATTTTGTCCCTTTCCTAGACAAACACTTGAATTCATTCCAGTTTAGTTATATCTATCTTCATGCGTAGAACACAGAACGACATGTAAAATCATGGTCTGAGATTTTAACGAGCAGGAAAGGACCCTAATCTCTGCCATTCTAATAATTCTACTTCCCCTGATGTGGCTTCATACCCCTAAAACTCTTAGACGGATCACTTTTCACCAGTTACTTATGTTGAGATTCCTGGCAACAGAAATTCTCTTTCACACATGCTTCTCTTAAACCGCATCTTTCCTCCATCCTATACTTGTGACATTGTTTTCACACGGAAGGGTTGACATCTACAAGTTCTCCCAATTAAATATAATTTTAACAGATTAGTCTATCATATTGCTCTGTCAACATTTTGTACACCCCAATTCTACTACCCAGCACATTTCTATATTTCTAACTCCTTTTAACATCACATCTGAAAATGTGAGGCATGTGCCATCTAGAAATTGCTAAATAAGGCAGAACTGAGGGCACAGCACTGTCGCCTGCCCTAGACACCTCTCTCCAAGTTAACTTTTCTCCATTAATCTAAATTCCTGATGAGTTCTATTGACCACCACATTATTTTCTAACTGTTCCCAAGTAGGATAGTTGAATGTTCTTCAGTTTTTCCAAGGATCACATCATATTCCTGTTCTACAATTCTGTAATCCACCCTTTTCCTGTCCTGAAAATCAGAGATTATATGCAAAGTGTGCAGGCAATATATTACTTAAGAGTGACATATATATAGAAAGACCACATGCCTGTAGATATTGTAGATTTGAATAGGTTTACAGCCTGTTGGGGATATGTGCAAACCCCCTCCAACAATGGAGTCCCAAACCCTTAGACACTTCACTTCCTGGTTCTTTTTCTCCTCTCCATTTCAGGGGCTTATTTTTCATGGGCTTTGCAATGAGCATGCACCAAGGAACTGAAGTCTCTGTATCACCTCAGGGAATGCACATTTGTTCCAATCAGACTACTTTTTGCCCTATATGGGCATAAGTGACTTCTGGGTAAGGCTGTAACCTCTGTAGTGCTCAGCCAATGAGGAGTCAGGGGAAGGACTTCACACTAGCAGATAAATTGCCTGCTGTAAGTGCCCCAACTGTGCCTGTCCCTCAAATACCGGCTCTTGCAAGAACGTTAATTAAAGCCTTGCTTCACTGTGCTGAGTCTCCATGTCCTTCTTTTGATTGGGTCAGTGGGATTATTTCTCACATGGTAGAAGGCCATGAAGCGTCCTATTCTCTAAAAATCACATCACGATAATTTTTCAAAAGATGGAAGCAAGTATGTTGAGAAAGAGGTGCCTTTTGGGGGCATCTGGATGACTCAGTTGGTTAAGCATCTAACTCTTGATTCTGGCTCAGGTCATGACCTCACAGTCGTGAGATCAAGCCCCCGTGTCAGGTTCCACGCTGAGTGCTCTCTCTCTCTCTCTCTCTCTCTCTGTCTCTCTCTCTCTCAAATAAATACACATTTTTTTTTAAAGAAAGAAAGAGGTTACTTTTGCTATGTCACACAAAGGCTTCATATGAGCCAGTGGTGGCTTTGCTGAAAATTACATTAACTCACACTATAACTGAATGTTTGGGTCCCCCCAAAATTCTATGTTAAAACCTAATCCCCAGTGTGAGGGTATTTAGTGGGGAGGGTCTTCGGGAGGTGACTGTGTCACGAGGGTGGGGTCCTCATAAATGGGAATAGTGCCCTTCTAGAGGAGACCCCAGAGAGTTCCCTTGCCCCTTCTGCTACGTGAGGACATAGGGAGAAGACAGCCACATATGAAGTAGGAAGCAGTTCCTCACCAGACACCAAATTCTGCCTGCACCTTAATCTTGGATTCCCAGCCTCCATGTTTTCTGTTTATAAACCACCTAGTCTATGGTATTTTGTTACAGCAGTCCATACGGACTATGACAACTGCCCTCCAATCTACTGGACAGCACCAATTTTCAGTATGATCTCTCATAGACTGTTGACAACAACTTCATACGGTTCTAGTCCTTTAATCTCCAGAATATGCTTATCTGGGCCTAGCTCTCACTATTGCCTAAACCATATTTAGTTGCAGTTCCCTTTTCACACACTTTGTTCTACCCTTTCCAGTTTGAAGACCATATCCTTGAGGGAGAGAATGAAACAACAGATTGGAATCATTCTCCCTTCTTTGTCAGCAGCCTGGGGCTAACCTATGACCATGTCACTTTCTCCTTTTTTCCCTAATGGGATCCCTTCCTCCCAAGCTTCCTGTCCCCACTCTCTTCCCAAGTGTGGTCCACTGTCCAGGGCTTCCTCTCTGATCCCATTTCACTGATAACTGCCCTTGATTTAGTTTCTGTTCTCACACCTGTCTCCCTGCTACTTGTTCTCATCAACTTAATGTGATTATCAGGTTCTTCCTCCTTTCTTGAATCAAAGATCTCTTTTACTGGGTTCACTTTCCTTTCCCCACAACATCTAAGCATACATTTTTTCTGAGTCAGCTTCCTGTTCTGAAAACCTGCCATTCGGTCCATCAGGACTAGTCCCCAGCTGGCCTGCCACTTACCCAGTGAAGCCACCTTTTTCCTGTCACTGTGAAAGCCTCCCCTGAGGCAAAGCTGTCATTATACCTGGCAGACAACGTAGGCTGAGAAACTCATGATTCCTCTCTTTTCACTCTAAAATTCTCATTGATTTTTCTTCAGAGGGACAATAAAGCAATTTCTACCATAAGGTCATCAATGCCTTTCTTTTTTTAAGTTGCCTTCAATGTGTCACTTTCTTGGAGAAACGTTTTTTCAATCTCCTGCTTTCTAGTTTTACTGTTCTCAGTTTGCAGGTGTCCCCCTCTGTCAAGAATTGCCTTTGTTTATTATTAACTTAATTTGGGGCTGCTGGTCAATGTCACAGCACCTCCTCAAGTCATCAGAGTTGTCAAATTACTAAGGATGGGAGACCCCAGGGGCGCCTGGGTGGCTCAGTCGGTTGAGCATCCGACTTCGGCTCAGGTCATGATCTCGCGGTCCATGGGTTCGAGCCCCGCGTCGGGCTCTGTGCTGACAGCTCAGAGCCTGGAGCCTGCTTCAGATTCTGTGTCTCCCTCTCTCTCTGACCCTCCCCCATTCATGCTCTGTCTCTCTCTGTCTCAAAAATAAATAAAACATTACAAGAAAAAAAGGATGGGAGACCCCAATTGTAAGATTTTTGTCCTAGCAAACTGACACTCTTTCATTCACGCATGCATGCGTTTCTTCTGCAAATACGTATTGAGGATCTACCATGCGGCAAATATTGAGATAAATGAACTCACAATCGCCATCATTAGAGACCTAAAGTCCTATCTCAAATATAACTAGAGCTTGGTGAGACTCCATTTGGTGCATGAGGTTGTAATCAAATAAACTATAGTTTGATAAACAAAGGTAATTAAAAACAATTCAAATCATTATCAGTGGCAGGCCGAAGACCACACTCTTAGTCCCCATCTAAATACCCTAACATTCCCTTTGCATACGTCTCCCATTCTCCGTCTCTCCAGCTGCTGGCAGAACTCTTCTGGACACTCTGGGTCACCATAAAACACTGACCTATTGTAGAAGCATCTCTCATCTCAGCTACAAGCATGTAGATACCCAAGATAAAATGCACAAGTCTCTCAAAATGAGAACTTTTTTCAAAACATATATGAATTAGAAAGCAAGAAAGAAAATTCACTGATGCAATGAAGGAGAGATATCCAGCACTCGGCTTGACCCAGGGGCCAACCCTAAAGCCAAGTGGTTCACAGAAAGGTAACTTGACCTGGCCTCTAGTGGTCGGGAGGCTCGGGGACAAGGGGCAAAGCCTCACCTTCTTGCAAAAAGAGAAGACAGAATGGACCCCATACACCAAGCCCTGAGTTGTAAAGGGTTACCTGGGGCGTCAGATGGAGGCCAGAAAATGCCACACACTAACCTGGAGAAAGGGAAGGAGACATCAGCACCATGATGCCTATTTGTTCCACATCCCAGGGCACTCTCATCCTGCCCCTCTATCTAGACTCAGACTTACTCCCACATACACCCAACGCCACAAGCACGCCCTGAGGCCTCCAGCCATGTCCAGCTTCCCTTCCCGGAAAACTCCACACTCCACCCACCAGGACTAGGCCCTGGACCATGAGCATCACCCATGGTATTTAAAAGAAAGAATAGAATAGAATAGAATAGAATAGAATAGAATAGAATAGAATAGAATAGAA